AAGTCTCACTCCGCAGGCACAGACAGACATCCCCATGCGCACGAGGACACTAACACACATAGGCAAAAACATATTATAATTAAAAAAAGCACACACACACAGGCAAAAACATATTATAATAAATAACACGTGACTCGAGTCCAAAGTCGAAACCCAGTTGTCACGTCACGTCACGACACCACCATCGCATCCTCACTAAACACATACTGACCCTGATACTCCATGAGGTACTGCGTGGACCTCTTCACATCGTAAAACAGCCCGTAAACCCTACTGACGTCCTCTATCTCCACACCCTTTCCCTTCCTCTTGAGACAGGCAAGCGCAGCAGAAGTGATGAGATTGACAGCGTACCTCAAAGACGTGCCCACCGCTATCCTAGTCAGCAAAACCTTTGCGTCCTCCGACATCTCCACATCCTCTTCCCCGCACCTGATGTCCAGAATCCTCCGCATCTCATCCGCAGTGTAAGGTTTTGTGGAGATGATGAGTAGGCGATCGAGGAAATTGATGGGGATGCCGTGGGGTGACCTGTAGTGGGTCCCACGGATGGAAGTGATGCCTCGGTTGGTGGCCACAACAAGGATGGGTGCCATGTCATTCTCCAGGGCTCGTTTAGGAACGAGAAGCACTCGATACCTAAGGGCAGGGGGATTTATTATCATCCTATATTTAAGGTTAGATGGACAGGTCAAATCGTGAAGATCGAGCTCAAGCGTCTTTATTGTGGGTGATGATATATTTGTGCAGCCCGCATAATCATTTTCTTCCACAGATGTGAATGCCATATTCAACTCCTCAAGGGACAGACGACGGGAAAGAAAGTGGGGGAGGGCTTCATCATTCTCGCAAACAACATTAGAAACATGAAACTTCTTGAGGCTAGACAATGAGACACTGCCCACATCAGAGAGTGACGCTCCATAGAAATCAAGCTTCAAGTCGACAATGGTTTTGTTGATAAAGAGAGATGGAGGGATTGTATCAAAATTAAGTGCAAGATAAATATTATGGACGCTACGCACGATTGCAGTCGTAATCCATGTCTCCAGTTGATAATCATTGCAGTTGAGGTGATAGAGTGTTAAAGTATCAATTCTTTTTGCATTGTACTGCAATATAACCCTGTGGATGATGTCTGAGGCTTGTGTCCCTTCTTCTTTGAAATCATCTCCACTGAAGTCCAAGCAGGTTACATGGGCCCATACAAATCTCCATCTTTTTCCGACAATGCTGGCCGCCATTGAGCGCTTTGTCGGGAGGAAAGAGAGAATGTGGCATGACTTCGTCCGACAAGCTGTTGAGCCTATTGATCGAGGCATGTTTTGCTCTTGGTGGTGGAGAGGTCAAGGGAGATGGAGGTTCAGTTTGTAGAGATGAGAAGACTGTTGTTGGTGGAGAGGCCAAGGGAGATGGAGGTTCGGTTGGTGGAGATGTGAAAGGTGCTGTTGGTGGAGAGGTCAAGGGAGAGGGAGGTTCTGTTGCTGGAGATGAGAAGAGTGTTGTTGGTGGAGAGTCCAATGGAATGGAGGTTCTGTTACTGGAGATGAGAAGGGTGTTGTTGGTGGAGAGGCCAAGTGAGATGGAGGTTCTGTTGGTGGAGATGAGAAGGAAGAGCTGAGATCTGAATTCGCTAAAATTCTCGTGGAGTTCGAGAGAATGAACTTGAAGAAGGGAAAAGACTCTGGGTGCTTTACATGACAGCATGTACTAGATTTGAAGATGAGGCCCCGATATTCATCCCTGTCATGGAAGACACCAGGCAGCAATCGATGCTATATGTTCAAAGATAGGTCTTGGCGTTTGCTCTCACCTACGAGCAGATTAAGAAGTACGTTGAAGGCTCCTCTGCACTTCCAGCCGCAGCTCTGGAAGTGTCTCTGATAACACCAATTGAGAATTGGTTTTTCATTGGTTGTATCTGTCGTTTAGTTTGGATTTATCTGAGATCTGAATAAAGCGTGTATGTCGTTTAGTTTGGACATTCGTGGTCCTATAAAATGTCGAAAGTTGACAAATTTCAGTAAGAAAAAAGGATTTACATTGAAAAAAAAAAGGAAAAAAAAAAGAGAAAGAGGATGATTAGAATTAGAAGCAATGTTATGGTTTTTCCTTCCCTACTTCAAGTCTCACCATTGCAATGGTGGAATCCGTTTTCTATACGTCCTTTTATAACTCATACTCACCTGATTTAACCATATATAAACTTTCGCAAGCAAACAAAGACGCAAACAGTTTTAGGAATGGGCTTGGGCTGTGTAATATATATATTGGGCTGGACATTGTTTAGGGAAATGGATACGACTAGGTCTCAGAAGACTGCTCAGCTGCGTTTGAGAAATATAAAAACAAAGGTGGCCCACTAATATATTTGGGCCGGGTTTGTGTTTTGGATATCCATTCAATTCAATCAATCCAATTATATTTCATTCATTCATTTTAAATATCTCTGAAGAATAATAATTATTTATTACGTAATATGCAAAAACTAAAATAGTGGTTGATAGTTATAAGTATGTGGTGGATGAATAACAAATATCTATACTTATATTAAAAGGTATACCGTTTACCAGATTTAGTATAAAGAAAAGTCAACAACATTTATTGCATTACTATTTCCGTATTATACAATCTATACTTATATAAAAGGAGATTCTATTTACTACATTTACTATCCAGAAAAATCAACTGCATTAAATACCATTACTATTTTGGAATTATAATATTTTATTTATTTAATTGATTTATGTTGACACCCGAGTTCGAGAACCGAACCGGAGACCCGGTCCAGTGAGTAAGTGCCGAGCTGGACCGCGAAACCTTTTTGACCTCAGCGTTCCCATGAGTCCGTCCGTTAGCCCGGCGTTTGAGACAGTAAAACTTCCGGTGCCGGCCTGACTGATGACGACCTGGAAGAAGGCTCCCCGTGACTGGAGGAACAAACCGGGAAAAGGTGCCGACCTAGGGCCTCGGAACGGGTCTCCACAATGAGGAACACCGGTCTAGATAGTAGTATAATAATGCCACTTGGAGAGTAATCATTGGTGATTGGACGGGATATCCTAGCCTGCTGACCTACTTCCCCTAGCCCAGACATAAAGTCTGCCAACATTAAATGACCCACATGAACACATTAAATGCCTGACAGGTAATGATGAGGAAAACCTCAAATCGCATTAAATTCTGTCAGGGAGGCGTCGAACTGCTCTGCAAAGAACACTGTACGACAAGACTGGTGAACAGTGTCTGAACAGTGTCACATTTAAGGCCACTATAAATAGCAGCCTACTTCATTTATTTTGGATTGTTGAATCCCAACTGTAAAAGCTCTTTCTATATTTTCTCTCTCTAGACTTGTAAGAAACTCGTGTAAGAAACTGTAAGTATATCGCAAGTGCCGACCTCGTACGAGAGACCGACCTCGTGATCTATTAATAAAATCGTGATTAATCGATAATTTCTTGTCTTTTCCTACTATCTTTTCATTACCCAACTTTTTAACCGTTGACCGGAAACGTCCGTCAACAAGTTATTTATTTGTTTTATTTTAAAAAGGTAAGTAGAATAAAAATATTTTAATAATAAAAAATCAAATATCAAATAAAAATGTACACTTTGACTTATTTGATTATATTTGGTATTTAATTATACTAAATATATTCCTATTTAGTATATACATTAAATACTTACTAAAGTATTTATTTGTTTTATTTGTCAAAGTTAAGTATAGATTTGTTTATATTATCAAATCATAAAAAAATATTAAATCCATATTCTAAAAAAAAATCATATAATTTTGTAACAATTCTACTACACTATTAAACAATATTTTTTTATTATATAATAAAATAACAATTAAATATTATATGGTGAACAAAAATAAGTAAAACTGTTACTTTCTCTTGTATCAAGGGATAAATTTATTTGCTAAAATTAAATTTTTATTAGTATAAATGTGTTAGTGAGATAATATATTAATTATTTTACAAGCTAACCCTAAAATGCTCATATTTAATGTTTTAAAAGATGTAGAAAAAAATTATAATAACTCTACTTTTTAGACTTGAACGTTGATTAAAAGAGGTAAAAATTTCTAATTTTTTAGACTTAAACGTTGATTAACACCATAGATTGAGAGTTTATATTTAGTAAAATTCTTAATTATAAATAAAAAATTAATTTTTGCTATATTTTAGAATATCTTTAAATTCATTATAAAAAAAACTACAATGAAAAAAACAAGTCAGCTATATATCGATTTGTTGTACTCCTCAAATCACATTCACAATTTGGCTACAAGGAAAGGAAACTCATTGATTAAAATATTATTTTGTCAGAGTCTTAATGTACAAGAGACTTTAAGACTCCACTTGAATATTATAAAACTTTTATTGAACATTGTACAATTTTTTTGCGTATTATAAACTTTTATTGAATATTGCATCTTATAATATAATATTCTCCAAATAAATATATCTCGTGTTTTGCACGGGTCACGTACTATAGATATCTTGTACATTTTTTTTATTCATGTATATAATTATAAGCCTGGATAAATAGCCTTAAAATTGTGCATCCTGTGCATCGCACGGGCTCTGTACTAGTTATAGATAAACATGTACTAATTATTTATTTTTAAATTTAAAAATTATACTAAAAATAGCGAGTGGAGGAGATGGGTATTTATACAATTCTTTTTGTTCAATTATATGAATTGCAAATCAAAATTTCATATTGTTTCCCCATTATCACCCCAACTTCAAACCCCATGTGAAAATTATTATTTTCAACACATAATAAAATAAAACATTACAAGGTTACAAGTATTTACTTAAAATCACCAAGTAAGAGATGCAATTACATATTATATACCTTGCCAACACAACAAGTAATGCTTTGACAGTGGACAATACAATGTATACCTTGCTTTGGGTCATAAAATGGAGGAATATTGGTGAGACTTTAGGTACAGTAGTGATCTAATACTCATTAAGTCACTCAANAAGTATAATTGTTTCAAAAATAGCCATTACTTCATGTCTACAAATTTTAGCATTATTTTCAACATATTTCATTAGTCAATTTTCAAAGGAAATAACCTATATTTCGCGTCGAATAATGACCATTTAATAACAATTTTCAAATTTATAATATTGAGAAATTATTAAAAAAAAAAATGGCTTAAATTCACAAATGAGAAATTGTGTAAACATTTTGCAGCCCATGTGCAACTTTCATATATACCTTACTTGCAACTTGCAAATAAAGGCTTGTTGCTTTATTGCCAAAAACAGCTGTATTACTACTTCTATTGGGACCCATTGTTTGATCCCAAAACTAAGCCTATCTTGTTCACAAAAATAAATGAAAACATTCATATTTGGTGGAATTATAGTATAAATATACATTCATATTACGAAGAATATGACGAGTCGGTCAGTATGGAATCGGTGTTATTGTTCCAAATTTGTATTTATAATTCATGTTTCACTCAATGACACATATATATTTATAATGATGTCACAATTATATAAGAATCATTCATCTAATTGAATGAAACAAGAATTGAAACATGATTTTAAAAGATAAAATGTTTTCCCAATCTATTAGACATATACAATAATTTTCCAACTGATTAATTAGAGCAAATCCCAACAAATGATAGACCAATCATTTATTGCTTTCATTGCTGTCCATATATAATAAACACCAATTGGACTTATGAATATTAGTGTGATATTCTGTCTGTGGCCTTGTAACGCCTTCATTAAAATTTAAATCAGGTACACATTATAATAATAATCCTCATTCAAAATGCTACCAAACTCCAATTGAAAATTAAAACAAGACAGTAAGTAATTTGGTGGGCCAAATGGGGTGAACCAAATTTGTCCACCGACACTCATAACAGCAAAGACTCTGTAATGTCATCCCCACAATTTTTATTGCCATTACCTAAGATATTATTTCATCTCAAGTAGTGATCATAAATTGATACCATGCTTTCATTGATTGAGCAGACATATTGAGAATTATGAATGTCTGTGGAATTTATTTGCATGCTAAATTTAATTAGGACCTTTCCATTAAAATGAGTATACAAAAAATGGAATTATTAATTAGTTAGATATAATTCTCAAAACATTTTATTTAATTTGATAATCACTACATTGTGTACTCATTTAAATATTATGGAGTCTCTTCATATGTTAATTAAATACTCCTTAAAACTTACAAATATAATTTTTTAGGCATTTTTTCATAGTTCGGTTTGATAAAATCCGAGCTTAGCTTGTTGAGACTGAACCTCAAATTGTCAATGATTAGATTTGAGCTTAGCTTGTTAATGATTAGACATAAACTTGTTAATATTACACGGGAACGAAGTTGATGAGTTTATAAAAGGGTTAGAACTCAACTCGACTTGTTTATATCTTTATTTTTTGTAATCATTCACACGTGCGTAGATTATGATTATATAAGATCATAATTAAGCTAACTAATTGCACGGTATATTTAATTAAAAAAATACTCAAAAAAAAATCAAAATAATTTTGTTTACGGCATTTTCTAAATTTCGTAATGTATATGTTTATTACAACCAATAATAATAATCATTATAATAAAAAAAGCGAGATCTTAAATAAAATATAATAATCACAATTTCCAAATTTGTCAAAATCCACACAGCCACACTTTTTCAACCGCACACGAAAATAAAAAAATAAATAAAATAAAATAATCAAAAATACCACGCGAAAATTGCCACCAAACTGAACCACACCGCCCCCAAACCGCCTACAACAACTCTACCTCCGCCGTTGCTGGAACCTTCCTCATCCGCTGCCGCCTCATCGTCGCCGGCCGGTCCAGGGCTGTCCGCATATTCGTCATCGCTGGATGCCGCCCTGGACCTTGCCGCTCTCGGCCCCGCCGCCGGGTCCGCCTTGAAAAGCTCCCTCGGCAGCAAAACCCTGTCGACCTTGAACACCGCCAGCGGCTCCTCATCGATAAGCGTACCCTTGATGGTCGCCGTCACCACCTTCGTCTCCAGCTTCACGTCCTCCCCGTCGTTCTGCACCGTGAAATCGTACTTGTTCTTCCCCTCCGTTGCTAGCGTGTTCATCACGCCGTTGCTCGATCTCAGCATCCCCAGCGAATTGTACACCGGCACGCCGTGGTACAGCAAGAGCGACGTCTTCCCGTCGCCGCTGAGGTTCCTGTACCGCGGCCCGAACGACCGGAGGGCCTCGTCGGACGGGCAGAAAACGGTGAGCCCTGCGGCGACGCTCTGTGAGAAGGTCTCCCCCGCGCCCTCCGCGGTTATCAGATCTGAGAACGCCTTGCACCCCTGCCTCGCCATTAGAGATGTGAGGTTCAGATCTGACGGCGAGGAGACCGGAGCCTCCGCCTCCGGCGAGGTGAGGACGTGGCTGATCTGGATCACGGAGATGTTGTACGGCAGCTCCTTTACGGATCTGACGAAGGTCGCCATCGGGGGGGCGGCGCCGCCGTCGATGGAAGAGTCGTCGACGGGGGAGAAGCCGACCTTCCCGCCCTTGATGTCGGTGATGTTGACGTATCCGGAGGTGCCGGCGGCCTCGCCGGTGGCCTGGAAGAGGGAGGAGGTGGTGGTGGAGCCCTTGGAGATCTGGTGGAGCTTCTTGGAGCCGAAGTAGTCGGCGAAGATGTGGAGGGAGAGGATGTTTTTGATGGTGGGGAGGGGATAGTGGTGGGCGAGGAGGTCGGACATGGCGGCGTTGTCGACGGCGCAGACGGTGATGGTGCGGCGGCGGTTGATCTCGGCTGCGAGGTGGGTCGCGGTGAGGTAGTGGTTGAAGGTGGAGAGGTCGGGGTGATCGGCGAGGATGCGGGTGATGTTGTGGGCGCGGACGGTGGACACGGCGGCGCCGGCGAGGATGAGAAGGACGGCGAAGGCGGTGGAGAGCTGCTCCATTTTTTGTCCACTACTAAACGAGTGAGGATTATGAGTGCTGTTTTTGCGTGTGTAGTAGTGGTGTACTTATGTGTGTGTGGGATATGTATATATATACGGAAAATGACCAATTTTTTGTTCGTATATTCTTTTATACATTTTACAACACTCAATAAGTTAAAAACTTAAAACCAACTTTTATACATTTTACAACACTCAAGAACAATAATAATAATATGGTAGTTACAAACTTAAAACCAATTTGCTTTTTCAGAACCATATTCTCATTTATATTTAATTTCATTTTATTATAATTGTGATGTAATTATGATTTTCATTTTTTATTATTACACGCATGTAATTGTGATGTAATCATAATTTCCAAATTTAATAAATGTATCAATTCGCTAGTCTAGCTCAATTTCTTTTATATTGTTTTAGTTAGAACTTGTGAGAGAAGCATCAAGTGTACTGCATATTTGTGATATCACTATGAATCTATTAGATACCTTATAGTAACACATCATGCATAGTGAACCAATTGACCATATTTTAATTTAAGGCTAAGTTTGAATAGAAGGATTTACTGTTACAAGTTCAAATCCTCATGCATGTTGGGATGATAATGGAAATTGGTGGACTTCAAATTCATGCTAAATGTTTTTTAATCATTATTTTGAATGATTTTAAATGACTCCTCAAACCTAATCATTTGAAATCCACAGTGAGACCACGTCGTCAGCGATCATTTAGGTTCATCGCCACCGCGACTCAATGCGAGTTAGACAATTGATTTATAATATTTTCAACACATCCATTCAACGAGTGTGCAAGTAATAAAAAATTTATATTTCAAAAATTTTGAAATCAAATGATTTCAAATCACTTAAAACAAACAGAGTCTAAGGGGTTTTAGTTCAAATGGTATCTGAGTCACTAATCGGTAGCTAAATACTATGCGGGATAAAAAAGTATAAATAACACTAAAAATAGCATAAAAAGTATAAATATATATTAAAATATATAAATTTATAAAATATTTTAAATGTCTATATATATAAATGGTGGATAGATTCAATAAATTAATATCAACTAACAATTAATAATAATATTAATTCATTTAATAAAAATAGGTGTTCATTTAATAAAATATGTTCACCATGTAATAAAAATAGGCCTAATTGCCGGTAAAATCACGACCTTACAACTTTTTGTCGTTTTAACCAAACTTTTGGAATTTAGCAAACATAACATAACCTTGTCTATTTTTTGGCAATTCGAATCACAGGGCCGAACTTCGGGCTTTGTCTGCAGACGTGGCGGATGACATGGCGATATCTGCTGAAGTAGCGATAAAAAATATAAGCGACACTGGGGTTCGAACTTGGGACTTCAAGTTTGTATAATAGCATTGCAACCACTACACCAACCCAAGTTGTATGTCAAATTTAATAGTGTTTAATATATATAGATACTACGTATGAACAAATGAAATTAAATTTAAAATATAATGTAAATTATATTAAATTATATTAATAAGATATAAACTTATAATAATTAAAACATAACAAAATAAATTATGTAATATTAAATAAAAAATAAACTAAAATAAAGTAAGATAAATTTTTTTTGTGGTAGAGTAAATTTAAATTAAATTAAATTTAAATAAACTTATATATTTCGTATTTATTAAAAAAATTAATTATGTAAATATAATAAAATAATTAAATATAGTATTTTAATAAATTATTTATATTATTTTTTAGTATAATAATTTAATAAATTATTATATTCAAAAAATATTTCATTATTTTATTATATTCATTTTTTAATATAATAAGCTAATAAATTATTTATATTATTTTTTAATAAATTACTAATTACAATAAAATAAAAAAATATTATTTGAATATAGTAATTTAATAACTTATTTATATTTTTATTAATATAATAATTTAATAAATTATTATATTCATATAATATTTCGTTATTTTATTATATTCATTTTTTAATATAATTAGTTAATAAATTATTTATATTATTTTTTAGCAATTATTAATTATAATAAAATAAAAAAATTTGAATATAGTAATTTAATAAATTATTTATATAATTTTTAATATAATAATTTAATAAATTATTAATTATAATAATCTCAAATAACATTCCTTAATTTTTTTATACTCATTTAAGATTTCTATTTATTTTAATTGATTTTTTTTTACTTTTCCAATTTTCGACACTTTATTATCTAATATTATATTATTTTCATTTAATATTATATAATTTTTATTATATTTTAATTATTATAAGTTTATATCTTATTAATATATTTTAAAATTTATATTGACTTTTAAATTTAATTTGATTCATTCATACGTATTGTCCATATATATTAGGCGTTTCTAAATTGAACATACAACTTGGATTGGTGTGGTGGTTGCAATGCCATATTATAAGGTGGAGGTGCTAAGTTCGAACCCCAGTGTTGTTTAATTTTTTACCACCACGTCACCATAAATCTTACCGCCACGTCACCATAAATCGCCATATTATCCGCCACTTCAGCAGAAATCGCCATGTCATCCGCCACGTCTACAGACAAAGCCCGAAGTACGGCCCTGTGATTCGAATTGCCAAAAAATAGACAAGGTTATGTTATGTTTGCTAAATTCCAAAAGTTTGGTTAAAACGGCAAAAAGTTGTAAGGTCGTGATTTTACCGGCAATTAGGCCATAAAAATATGTCTCATTTTGACATGTCCCATTTTGGATGATGCCTATTTTTGTAACGTATTTTTATGTCCTAGAGTACAAAGTATTATTATTTTTAGTTTGATACTATATATATTTTGATATTATATAAATGCATATTTCACAACTAATTAAAAATGACTACAAATATCTCTATTTCTTATTGCAGTCATACTTTAATTATAAAATATTTTTCTGATATTACAAAGATAAATCAAATATTATGAAAAATCAAATCCCATGAAATATTTTGCAATCAATAGTTGCGTAATATTGATTTAATAAATGATAAAAAATTTAAACATAATATCATTATATTACTTATAATTTTAATATTATATGTATTAATATAATAATACTCTATGTTTAAAATTTAATACCAATATCTAACTAATAATTTTAATATTATATGCATATAAATAACTTATAATAATTTATTTAAATCTATGCAAATACACAGAATCGAATACAAGTATTACTTTAAAATTGAGGGATGACAGTGTCTTGGACCATGACGTGGCCCATTTAATAAACGGATCGGACCCGAATATGGTCTGTTTTAAAATTGGGCGGGTCCAAACCCGTACTAAAAGCTCTAGGTCATACTAGATCACGTCGGTGGTCACAAGAAACTTAGGGCATGCTTGTCTATCAATTATTTCACTCGCATTTAGTTCATACTCAAAATCTAATTCAACTTTAACTCAACTCCATTATCTTTGATATTATTCATATAGTTAATTAATGCAAATTAATTATTCTTACACATCACATCAAATTTAATTCACTATTCCTCCATTCACATAATTTTAACTACTTATCATTTCTAATCATTTATCTCCTACTTTTACATCAAATCAATTTTAATTATTTTATTTTAAATATTATTTTCATATATTCTTAAAATTTCAAATAAATGATTGTACTATATTTTTCACAATTAACTCTGATTTATCAAAATAATTTATTTTGAACAATTATTTTGTACACAAGTGAACCCATACCTTTTACTGTGGAAGAAACGACACTCTCAATGATTAGCCCATTAAGTTTGTTTACACCAACAAATTGGAATGCCAGGCCCAAAATCCACTGTGTTTGCAAATACAAGACTTTTTATTTTATTTATTTATATATCGTGCACCAAATCGATTTGAGAGTTTGATCCAATAATTATCCACATAATAATATGAGTCACCTGTCAACAAATTAAAATTCGATGATTTTTGTCAATGCTGTGTTTCAATACCCAACAACTAATCATTGTCACTCTTTTATTGCTGATACTAAATAATTAAGAGGGGAAAATAAAAAAATAAACAAAGATTAAAAAAAAAAAAAAGCAAGAGTGTCACGTGCATGATCACGTGTTTCTCCAGAAGGATCCCAAACCCACAGTTTTGATTAAAACGATGGATATAAATATGGTACATTTTCAATGTTAGTCCGGTGATAAAACGGTACGGTCACACGCACGTAAAACCCACAATGCTTACAAGTTATAGGGACAACTCACAAGTGATATCTTAACACATTTCTTAACTTGTGAGTCATCATACGGACTCAAGCCCATCATAATTTGCCCTATTTATTCTTGTTCGAGTGCAGTGGTCAAGCAGAAAAAGATGACTAATTCCCGTGAGTTAGGGGTGATTGTTTATGGATTCAACTAGTTTTTATTTGGTTTGTTTTTTAACTATAGTTAATTTTGAAAAAATGTAGTATGGTTAGTTGTTAGTGGATATTTTAAAATATTATTTAAATAAAATAATTAAAGTTGATTTGATGTAAAGTATGAGAAAAATTATTGAAAGTGATAGTTAGTTAAAGTTATGTGAGTGGATAAATAGTGAATTATAGTTGATGTGATGTGTAAGAATGATTGATTGTTATTATTTAATTATATTGATATTATGGGAGATAGTGAAGTTGGGTTAAAATTGAGTTAAATTTGAGTTTTGATTGGTTTTTTTACTGTTGAAACTATAAACAATCGGCCCCTTAGTAATGGTGATATCCCAACACGGGAAGAGAAGAGTTCAAAGAAGCTGCTCTCTTCTCATCAGAAGGCTTATTTGAAATGCGAAATTCCCGCCAATGGCTGAGAAAGAAGAAGTAGATGCGCATGAATCAATGTTAAGCGACGCTGCTTCTAATGAATTCCTTCTCTGACTGGCTTTTCTATGACTGAACTTCGCTTCTAAGTTGGGTCTTAGAAGTCGAGGCCTAGTTCTTCGAAATGAGCCACTCAAGTCCAGCACTGGGGTGAAACAGTGTTGTTCCACGCATGTGAAGCACACCATAAAAGAGAAAATTCAAATGAAGTCTTTGTGAAGGTTTCATTCTAAAACTAATTGGTGGAAGGAGGAGTAGTCCACTAGCCTTATAAGTTAGGCCTATTTTCACTGTATAAACGATGCGAAACAACTCATAAGTGATATTCGAACAACGTGATTATTCCTTATTAGATGTTTGCAATAGACACGAATCAAATTATGCAGAAAGTTATCTTAATCCAGACTACCATTTCGAATCATTTCAATTTCTGAGATTTTAAACAAGATTTATATATTATGGTGACATATCTTTCAAAATTTAGACCTCAAGGTTGGTTTAGTTACCGTCTGATGTAGGGAAGCGTATGTAGGGAGGATTCAATCTCTCAATACGCTCAATATTTTATTCAATTATCAACAAGAAGAATCATTTAAATAAGGCTCATAAACCCTACTCCTAACTTGTCCAACAAGATAAGATATTTACTAAATATTCTAATACCAATAATAAAAATGAGTTATTCTCTTACCAATTAAATAATAATAACAACAATAATAATAATAATAATAGATATCAGTCTACATCACAGACAATATGTAACCAAATCAGACTCGTTAATATTAATAAACGAGTCAACTTATGTAGTTAACGAGTTGAGTTTTACTATCTTCAATAAAGACTCAAGTCCGAGTTTGAGCTTCAGAAGTTCAAGTTCAGCTCAGTTCGATTTGTTTACACCTTAAGTTCTAATCCACATATGACTAAAGTTAATGAGTTCGACTCATTAAAATTTGACAAGAGAGCCAAACATGAGTAGTTAACGAGCTTTGACTCGACTCGATAAAGACTCAAGTCCGAGCTCGTGATAAGCTCGAGGTTGGCTCAATTCGACTTGTTTACACTTTACACCTTCGGTTGTGATCAACATTATTTAACAAATTTGTCTCGTTAATATTGATAAATGAACAAAAGTCGTTTATCGATTAGTTAACGAGAATTGGTCCGACCCGATAAAAACTAAAATCCGACTTGAGTGTCAAAAACTCGAACTCAGCTCGACTCGTTTACACCTCAACACGAAATCATATATTTCCAACGAGTTGTGTACTTCTTCATAAGTAATAATCTACGAAGGACCAAAAATGTTATTACCCAATAGATACATGACCAAAATGAAAATATTCTACACCCTCCATATATTAATATATTATGCATCCACCTACCTCCACCAGCCCATCGCTCTGTGTTTTTCAGACGAACACTTTGGTAGCTTCGCCTACTTTCTCGATTCAAAAGTTCCTCACAAAAACCAACAAAAAGGTGATCGTCTCTCTCTTTTTATCGATATATTATGGCTGTTTGAATCAGATCTGATGCGTTTACTGTTTGCTGATTGTGGATTTGGCTTTTTGTTTCCGATTTTTTTTTTTTTTTGGGGGAAAAAACAGATATGGGCAGCTCTGGATTTTCATGGAAGCTGAAGGATCACCCCAAGTTGCCCAAGGGAAAACAAGTAGCGGTCGTGGTTTTGGACGGATGGGGTGAGGCCAACCCCAATCAGTACAACTGCATCCACGTGGCCGAGACCCCCACCATGGATTCGCTGAAGAAGGTATACTGTTCTTCACTCAGCTGATTTAGGTTTATTCTGATTGTTGAGTGCATTTGCGTCTGTACCTTTGGGGCAAGACGACTGTGATTGAATTTGTCCTTGATGTTGTTTCTGGTGAAGGGAGAGCCTGATAGGTGGAGATTGGTGAAGGCTCACGGGCCAGCAGTAGGGCTGCCCACAGAGGATGACATGGGTAACAGTGAGGTTGGTCACAATGCACTTGGTGCTGGCAGGATTTTTGCACAGGGGTGAGCTGAGCTTGCAGTACTTATTTGTGAATTTTTGATTGGCCAAGTAAATGTATATAGAAGATGAGTTTGAAAATCAAGTTTTAGATTTGCCACCTTTAATGAAGTGTTTGTTAGTTTGTTGTGATAATACATATTGTTGATTTGTGATTGTGTATGCTATATTAGTTCCAACACTTTGCCACCTCCTGCTGTGTTGATTTGGTATTTATGTATTTATTTGGGCATTTTGTTCAATTTATGGTTGAATTAAATTCCATGTGTCCATTAGACTGATGTAAATGAATTGTTGTGTGTTGCAGGGAGGAAAGTTTTGTTTCATATTATATTGTCCACTGTCTTCCTCCCTTCTAAATTGCCTATGCACCATAATGCAAACTTTGTACAGACTAGGAAATGATTCAGATTATATTACTCTTGATAGATAAGAGTAAATGTTTAACGGGTTGCTTTACGTTGGGTTGTGCTTGATTGATCTTCCTCTTAAATATGTCAATAGTTAGAATCCGAAGTTCAATTGTGTTGAAGTTGATTGATTAACCCTTTCTTGTATTTCGTTTATTTTCAAACTGTCTCTCTGTTTTTAGCAGCAAATGGTTCAATATCTTTTAATCTAACTAGTACTTGGGAAAGATCACGATTCACATACAAATAGCAACGATGCTGTTTTTTTTCCCCTAAAAATAATCATGTTTTGCATCATTACAAGGTTTCTGCTAACACTTTATCCTACCTCTTTTTGTATACAGTGCAAAGCTTGTTGATATTGCTCTTGAAACGGGTAAAATATACGATGGAGAAGGTTTCAAGTACATCAAAGAATCTTTTCCGAATGGAACTCTTCATCTCATTGGATTATTAAGCGATGGAGGTGTCCACTCTAGGCTTGACCAGTTGCTGGTATCTCTTACCCCTGGAGTTTCATCACAATGTTTTTGACAATCCACATGCTTTTCTTTTCTTTTTACTTTTCTCTTTATGCCTTTTTAACTTTCGTGACCGTGTTGTATTTTATTGATATTTTAGCATATAAGATAAATTGATTGCATGTCATATATTTTGGATACAGTTGCTTCTTAAAGGTGCTAGCGAACATGGTGCCAAAAAAATCCGTGTTCATATTCTCACTGATGGACGTGATGTGTTGGACGGCAGTAGTGTGGGCTTTGTCGAAACTCTAGAAAATGATTTGGCAAAGTTGCGTGAGAAAGGCGTTGATGCGAGGGTTGCATCCGGTGGGGGCCGCATGTATGTTACGATGGATCGTTATGAGGTAAGATCTTCCGAATTTCTTTTATGGAAGGATTTGTGGTAGACCGTCTGATGGATGATATCCTGTCATATGGATTACAAATGGCACATTTAATTAGTACTAAAGTTTTAGTCAGTTTTCTTCCTTAGCCTGAACCCTTATTTTTGCGGAATCTTGAAATATACTCACGCGAGAATGTGTTTCTGGCATTCCATAGAACGACTGGGACGTTGTCAAACGAGGTTGGGATGCCCAAGTGCTTGGAGACGCACCCCACAAGTTTACAAACCCCATTGAGGCTGTGAAGAAACTGAGAGAGATCCCCAACACAAATGACCAATACTTGCCCCCTTTTGTTATTGTTGATGATAACGGAAAGCCCGTTGGGCCTATTGTAGATGGCGATGCCGTTGTGACATTCAACTTCAGGGCAGATCGTATGGTTATGTTGGCCAAGGCACTCGAATACGAGGACTTTGATAAATTCGATCGGGTCAGGTTTCCCAAAATTCGTTATGCTGGGATGCTTCAGTATGACGGTGAGCTCAAACTCCCGAGTAAGTACCTTGTTTCGCCACCAGAGATCGATAGAACGTCTGGGGAGTATCTTGTGCATAATGGCATCCGTACTTTTGCTTGTAGGTAAGCTGCTGTAAAAGTCTGTTTGAGTTACTATAACAATCCCTTACATTTATGTGCTATTCTTGTTCTGAGGTCTACCATGGCCTAACGACTTTAGGGGCTACAGTTATGGTCTTACTTTCACTTTATTTTATTTGGGATGACCATAAACACTATTATCAAGATTTAACAACTACAACAACATACCCAGTATATTTCCAACAGGTTGGGGTCTGGGGGGTCAGTTGTACGCGGACCTTACCCTTGTAATTATACAAGGAGGCTGTTTCCGTAGCGACCAAAGATGCATTGCGCCGTTTGATATATTTTTTTTTTCTAGAAACTTCACTAATAGAAGAAGCACTAGAATTTAATTGAGCCATTTTGATCTATTCCATTATTAGCACTATGCCAGGAGAATTGTCAACAATGACTCTTCCAGCTCCATTTGCAATGGACAATATTATCGAGATTTAACCTGATGAAAAAAACTTCCAGTGTACCTTTCAAATCTCAAATTTGCATCTACTGAGTGTAAAATTTGTTAAATAGTTACAAAACTTCGGTATTTGTAATTTTAGAAGATAAGGGCTGAACTGTGCCGATTATATCATCCTGACTCAGAATAGCCTCATGCAAATGTGTGCAACGAACGGCCGAAAATATCTAATCTAGGGCTGAACAATGTTGCATGTCTTTTCCTTATGACAGTTCAAATGTTGAATTCGTGTGCATTACTTTTGTTCGTATGGACTCTTCTGTTGCACTATTTTGTTTATTTATATCCATTTTTTTGAGGCTATGGATTTTCAGCCTGTTTACTTTCATCATTGTTGTGCTGTGTTGCAGTGAAACAGTTAAATTTGGTCATGTCACATTTTTCTGGAACGGGAACCGTTCTGGGTACTTTAACCCAGAAATGGAAGAATATGTTGAAGTCCCAAGTGACAGTGGAATAACCTTCAATGTCCAGCCGAAGATGAAGGCACTGGAGATTGCTGAGAAAGCAAGGGATGCCATCCTTAGCCGCAAATTTGATCAGGTAATTTATAATGTCCTATTCTCTTTTTATTTATTTGTCAAAAATAAAAAAATCTTGATTGCAAATATGATTTATTTAATGTCTTTTGTTTACTCAAAAGGTACGTGTCAACCTACCTAATAGCGACATGGTTGGACACACTGGTGATATTGAAGCAACAGTTGTGGCTTGTAAGGCCGCTGATGAAGCAGTGAAGGTACTAATCTGGAATTCGGCTTCTTTCTCTTTCTTTCTTTCATTTTTTTCCCTCAGCATTCCTAATCTAGAAATCCTTTTTACTTGTATTATTGGTCAGATCTCACTGATCTGTTGTAGGCATTCTTGCCGTATATTCAACCTTCCCACTTGAATTCTAGGTTTCTGCACAACCTCAAAATTTCAAAACCGATGTATTGTATCTTAAAACGTCTTTATAATGTTACGTTTTTTGCGGCAAAACCTATCCATGAACCAGCAGCAGATTATATATGAGATATGAATTTCATAAGTTATTTACACTTAAGCATAACCTTTTGAAGCACATTCCCATAAGATGGTCCCTGAAAACTATAAGTACAAGAACACATAAATAAAAAAATGTGAAAGACCATATATTTTGTATTTCAAATATGAGATTAATTGAGAATATCCACTGAGAATATCCACTATTTGTGTTCATTTTAATAGATGATCCTGGATGCAATTGAACAAGTTGGCGGAATATATGTTGTCACTGCTGATCATGGAAATGCTGAGGATATGGTGAAGAGAAACAAAAAGGGCGAACCACTTCTCGACAAGAATGGCAACATTCAAATTCTAACTTCTCATACTTTGCAACCTGTAAGTAATATATTCCTTATCCTTATTTGGTTTTATGGAGTGTATACCGTATATTTTCACAGCTATAAAGATACCTGTGCACTTAAATACTACAACCGCTTTAGGCTTTTAGCCGTTGCATTGACATGTTATGGAGTAAATCGCTGGATGTGTACCACTTAGTAATCCTAATACAAAAGCAACCAATAAGGTCTATGCAAATTATGATCAATCACTAGCTTTCAGAAGTACAAATCACTCCTCGATCATCTTGTCTTACAGTTGCACCCTCAATTTAGGAGTATCTGAAAAAAAAACCCAAGTATAGACATTGAAGAAGTGCAATAACTTCATTCTTTTGTAATTAGGCTAAATTATCAGTTCTATTTCAGTTATTATTTTCTATAGTATTGGATCAAAAGTTTCTTGTTCACATTACATTTCCATTTTAGGCAGCTGACATTACTCTATCTAGATAGGATATTTAAGATTATTAAAAAAATAAAAATAAAACTCCTACTGAGGTGTTATCAAGTTTACAAAACACTCCTGATACCTTTCAAAATTAGTAATCCCCTTCAAATGTTACCCAACACAGCCTTGACACTTGTATTTACCTGACTAGTTTTTGTGAAAAAATAGATAATGCTGAGGATATTTGTAATCTTCAAATTGTACACTTCCTCATTATTTTTTTATCATATTATTTTCACTTTAGTCTTTAATTTCTTATTAGTTTTTGTATTATTTTAAGCTTTGGATGTGTAAAGTATAATTTGTGGTCCTAATGCATCAATACTTTCCATGTAGGTCCCGGTTGCTATCGGTGGGCCTGGGCTGGCACCTGGCGTGAGATTCCGTAAAGACGTACATACTGCTGGGCTGGCCAATGTGGCTGCAACGGTCATGAACCTACACGGATTTGAAGCCCCCAGCGATTATGAGACCACTTTAATCGAGGTCGTTGACAATTAATTACGCCTCTTAATCAGTTCGTGCTTCGAAATTTTGCTGAGGAAGCGTGTTTTTCGGAAAACACTATTTTGATTATTTAGAAGAAATACTTTCTTACCTATTTGCTGCTATTACTACGATATAGTACTCTAAAGCAGCAGCACACTATGCTTTAGAGATTGAAATAATTGATTATTAGAACTGAGAACTGTTTACTATGCCTGCAAGAAGAGTGTGTTTTGGTTGTGTATGAAACTCTGAATGCAACCAATATTTGGTTGCTTGAGTTGGTACTGTTTAATTTATGGCATTTATCATTTGCTATGTTTATTTGAAGGAATTATTACATTTAAAATGCATGTTAAAAGATTATATTCCAACTAAGCAACCATACTTTTCAATGGATATTGTTACTTTCAATTTGAAATGTCAATTTTAAAAAAGAATACAAATATAAATTTATATAACATAAATATATATTTTTGTAAAAAAAAAAAAGAATGAGAGAGATTGGCTTGTCTAAGAAAAAGAAAAAGAGATTGACCGTTAGGTCACCTCATATGTGTGTATACCTTTAATTGTCTGCTCAATAAGTAGATAACAAAAATATATTATTAGTTATTAGTTATATCATTGTGTCTAATAAATCATACTAACCACATTAAAAATCATGATGCTATTTTTACATTGGTAAAATTACAAAAAATCTGACGGTCCTGTATTTACGATAAATGTTTATATTTTCATACTGAATATTGGGTCTTCCATATTATTAACGAGAATTAACATATGACCTACTCAGAAGTTACCTCATGACTAGACCAAAAAGTGTTTGGATTATTTTGACTTTTTTTGGGTTGCTCAATATCAAAATCTTATTACATGAAATCACCTCAATTAGCATACTTTAGAAAATAATATAAAAAAATAAAGATACTATATTATTTGTTATAGAGATAGGATAGTGATTAAAACTGGTCACACAATAAACGTATCTACCAATAGGCCGCACAAAAAGAATCTCTCACACTTTTCCGAAGCAAGTTTCTTGCTTTTGCTGCCAGTATTAGAAAAATAGTGCCTTTTCGCCTTTCTCCAATCCCTGCGGTTGTTTTCCCTTTTCTTCTGAAGTCGTCACTCGTCAAGTTTATACCTTTCGGGGAAGGGTAAACTGACTGATTACTAGTTTACGCTGATTTCATTTGTTTTAAGCAGAGAAATTTTGTTTTGATGGGTTACATTTGTTGTCCTCTAACTTGAATCAGCCTTTTTCTTTTTAAAGTTATTATTATTATTATTATTATTTTTTTTTTCGTGTCCTTAGTTTTGCTTGCTGTTATGAGAAGGTTATTTTCTGGGTTTCGTTCAATTTGCTGTCTTTATATATTACTTTCTTCTATTTTCCCCTTTTTTTGTTGGTTTTGGTGGGGTGGGGTGGGGTGGGTGAGTTAGATTTAAAATGTTGGCATAGACTGATTTATGTTCATTAGCGGTTAAGTGTTATTTTAATTCATTTTACCTGCAGTTGTATGATGTTATGCATAATCATTTTGTGTCTGTTAGTGCTGTTGCTTGTTTAGTCTGTGTTTTCACTGTGTTGTAGTTTTGCTTTAAAAAAAAATAAAAAATCGTTGATTTCATTAGGGGAAAAAAGAAAAAAATAGCTACTTGTGCTGTGTTATTTGAACAATTTTTGGTGTAGATAGACCTTTATATGTCTATGTGTGCTGTTTAATCTCTAATGTTTGGGGGTTGAACTGTGAATTTGCTACGTGCTTCTCTATAGAAAATTGTGTGACTGATGCAGGTTTTGAGGTTGGAAATCGGTCGGGAGAAATAGTTCATTTCGTTTAAATTGGATAGGGAAAAAGATTGACCTGTCATTTGTAACTAGTATAATAGTAGTAGATAGCTTGCTGGTCTTGGGATATGCCATAATGAAGAATAAGTGTCATGGGAAAAAAAATTCTCATTTGGGTTTCAAGAATCCAATTGGAGTTTATATGGGTGAAGCTATTGGCAATTGTTGATCGAAAACTAACAAAGGGATAAACTTTACTTCTTTATTCTTCTGCAGACCCTCTAATCTTTTTTACCATCCTAAATAATCGCGTTTTAATATTTTTTGTGCAAATCTTTTACATTGCTTTGTTGTAGAAAAATGCCTGAGGGAATAACAGCAGAGGCTCTTATGAACAATATCATGGACTCAATTTCTGATAGTGTATCAAAGAACAAACATGTCTCATTTTTCGAGGAGGAGAAGTCGAATTCCGTAACTTCTCAGTTCAACAGATTGTTCGGGCGCGAAAAACCTGTCCATCATCTCTTGGGCGGTGGCAAATGTAAGATTTCTTTGTGGTGTTGATTGAGTTTCTTCTATCTCATCGTTTAAGATCATTCATTCACTTGAATTTGTAGCTGCTGATGTTCTATTGTGGAGGAACAAGAAGATCTCAGCAAGTGTTCTAACTGCCGCAACAGTCATTTGGGTGCTTTTTGAATGGCTCAATTACCATTTTCTAACACTCGTGAGCTTTGTGCTGGTTTTGGGTATGCTTGTTCAGTTTGTTTGGAAAAATGCTTCTGGCATAATAAACAGGTACCTCCTCTGACATAAAAACTTGCAATCTGGCTTTCTGGTTTTTGCCTTCTTCCTAGAAAACTAATCGATAAATTTGTAACCGTTCAATGGCGATAGGTCTCCATCCAAAGTTCCCCGTCTTGTTTTGCCGGAGGAGTTTTTTGTCAACATTGGAAAAGGGATAGGATATGAGGTGAATCGTGGTTTAAGCTTCTTGCAGGATGTTGCGTGTGAAGGAAATATGAAGCATTTTTTAGTGGTAATTTAACTATCCATAAGCGTTTCTTGTTTTTCTTTTTTGTTTGTTTTCCTGTCCTTTCTTTTTCATTTTTCCCCCCAAAAATATTTACATTTCAATATCTGCACTTATTGGTGATTTTTCATTTTCCAAGAGTTAAATTTGAGTTCTGTCATCTTGTTGCAACTTACAGGCTGTTGCTAGTTTGTGGGCTGCAGCTATTATTGGGAGCTGGTGCAACTTTTTGACTGTGATTTATATTGGTAATATTACTCAACTGTCATTAACGCTTTTGAGATTTTCCAAAATTTTATGTTGGTCATTTTGGTTGATTAATATCTGAAGGCCTGTCAGTCATTGCCTTTTGCAATCTCTTTCATTTCTTCCTTTTTTTGCTCAATCTGCAGTTTAATTTACTTTCTTTCTTGGTATTTGCTTTTATCTTTTATAAATCCCAAATTTTTTATTCAGGGTTTATATATAAATAGAGAAACTTAATGTGGTTGTTATGATGTTATTGACTATCTTGAGCAATAAATAAAAAATTTCATGACATGAATATACTGCCCTTTAGATTTGGTTTTCATTAAAAAGAAAGAAAGAACAAAACAACCGATAGGTATAAAATTTTGATGCCGTGTTACGGGATTCTTGTTTGATTTGATACTGGAATTCCAAAA